CGGGCTGCATGAGAGAAGGCTACCAGCGTGGTAGTTTTCCCCAAAATGCAGTGCGCCGCCTATAGCCCTGCCATGGCGGCAGCCAGGTTTGTTCAGATGAGCATTTGACGGCATTTGCAGGAAATTGTGGCAATAATAGGTGAAAGAGAGTATAGAAACATTAAGACTTTGGTAGTAAATAGTTTTCGTATTTATTTAGCATGATATTTATTTGAAACGCTCCAAGTGCCTGTGAGCTACACCCTCATTTCTCCTTTAAGTTCTAGTCCTAAGGATTGTGTATTTAGACTACTGTCTGTACTGGCTGCATTGTAATCTGTCTTGTTTTTGGACCGTTACATCGTAACCTCGTAAATATTAGTCTTCAACGTTAACAATGTGTTCACAACCGTGCTGTCATTGTATACACACCTTTGCAGGGTGCGAAATTAACGGGAGTCCGGAGTCAAATACTCCCTGATTACTGTCGGACTCCCTGATTTGACATATGCAGGAGTCCGTGTGACTCCCTGAAAATTCTGCCACATAACTAGTTCGTTCCGGAGCACGGCCTCGCGGAATTACCGTATTTTTTCAGGTAATGTCCAGAGAAAATTTAGCAGACGTGCAACCGCATGAATCTTAAAGAAATAAGCAAATGCGTTATTCACTCTCCCTCATTTTTCTGGCGGACTCCCTGTTTTTGAGGGTAGGGAGTCCGTTGGACTCCCGTGTTTAAAATGAAATTTTACCCCTGCCTTTGTAGCCAACTTGTGAAAGTTTGCCAAGCCCTTGGCTCGTATCAAAAACATACACCTTCGGATCTTAATCTGGGTTCAAGACCCAGATCGTGGTTGTGGGAGAAGAGGTGGGTTTTCTTAGCTGGGTTACGATGTGTGGAGCATTGCACACAAGTGTACAATGCTCATTCATGACATGCTACCGTTGACTGACAAAGATAGGCATGGATTCTAAATGTTGTCTACGGTGCATGCATCAGCAGAAAATGTTCTCTGGTACCCTTGCTCAATTGTTAGTGCGGTATGGAACTGCACATTCTGGTACATTAACTTCTAATAATTATTATATTATTTGAAAAATTAATATTAAAATTATTAAAAATGAAATTATTAATAATATATTTATTGAAATAGGTATTTAATTGTTATCATAAGTTTAGTGGTTAATTTTGGTTATGTCAGTGGCAAATTTCAGGATGCCGCATTGGAAACTACTGATGTATGTATGTTGAAAACAGGTATTATATTTTTTGGTGATATTTGCTGCCAGTAACGCAGATAAGGTCTAGTGTCCCCCTGACCTCTGTTTGACCTGGCTCAGTTTTAGCTTTTCTGACCATATATATTATAATATATATATATATATATATATATAATATAATATATAGTAGGTTAGGGTTAGGTTAGTCAGAAATAGCTAAACGAGCCAGCAGCCAGGTCAAACAGAGGTCAGGGGGACATAGACCTTACGGGTGCCAATAACCACTTATATTACATACCATTAAACTGTCAAACTCAAATTTGGGATCAGTTTATTAGCATGTATAGAGAGCACCGTTGAGTAATTGTCAAGAGTGATAGATTGACGTAATCATATACAGGGTTTCTTCTGAGGGAAAATTATACAAAGGTGGTAATGGCCAGTTTGGGAAAAAAATGTGCATGATGGATTCAAAGGCGTGCCATAGGCACACATGCGGAGGCTGCAGGCGCAGTTACGGGAGCATTTTCCTGACGATGATGTTAAATTTGACAACGGTGGTGCGCCACTGTGCCTCTTATGTATAAGAAACCCTGATATAGATACATATATATTGACCAGCGATCTTATGTGAGGATTTTACTAATGAATACAGTATCATTCATGTCACCATTATTGGGCTGCCCCAGTAATGCTCAATTGGGAATTCTACTATGAATCGTACTTCTCTAACAATAACAAACTGAGTAGGAGAAGCAAGTTGTTGGACTTGTGCAGAGTAAGTGGGAGAATGAGCTATAGGTTTGTTACAGACTGATTGAGGGCTGAGCTATAGGTCTCTGCAGATGATATAGGTATCTACAGTTCGAAGTGTTTTTAATTACATTCTGCCTAGCAAGCATGGGTAGTGCTTAAATACAGTGAGATATTGCCGCTCTCTCACTCTCGCTACATACAAGTATCAAGAGTGGGTCTCATCCTTGTAGTCGTACTAACTTTGATTTACTGCTGTTATCTAAACACAACTAGAAACTACTGTTTGAAGCATTGCA